ATATATATATACATATATATATATATACACATATATATATACATATATATATATATATCATATATATTATTATAATTTGAATATATATATCATGTTTTTTTCAACTTACTTTCAAATATCTTATTTTACTTAAATTTCTAAAACTATCAATAATAAGACTGTATCAAGATGAGACTACTGTCAGACCCTATTACAGGACATTCAATGAGCCAAATAACAGGTCGAATTCAGGTCCAATTGGCCCATAATTGAGTTGACATTGTTTCACCATAATACCGATTTAATTAGACCTAAACTAACTCGATTTAGACATACAATTATAAATATGAATCCTATGTTGTCTAACATATCATTGGTTTATCCGGTGCTTCGTCCGATCCTTTGGCGCATCTTCCTCTCCTTCGGTGTATTGCCTAATTAATATGTTGACTCCTGCAACTTCCGATCTCATTGGCACAATGTTTGATCTTTCGACCCGATGCCCAAACTCATGACATGAAGCCTTCTATCGATACGTCGACTGATCCTCCGGCCCGACATCTAATCTTCTAACATGTTCCACTCTAGCCCAATGTATGATTCCTCTTGTAGTACTACCCGGTGTTTAGTGGTACCATCCAATGTCAGATTGGTAAGCGGTGGTACCACCCAGTACAAGCGGTGGTACCACCCGTACCCCAAAAACTCAGGGATTTAAATTTTGGCTCCAAGTTTTAAAGTCATTTTGGGTCTATAAATACCCCACAAATTCTTACTTAGAACACATATGAAAAAAGAGCAAAAACTTTATGATTACAAGGTTGTAAACCCTTTTAAGTATAGAGTCCCTTCTCCAAGAGCTTAGTGATAGTCCTAAGGAAGGTGTGTGAGGGAATACTTGTAAAAGAGGGGTGTAAAGGATCTTTCATTAACCTATGAAAAGGAGAAAGAGTGTAAAAGGGTAGTTGGTCTTTGCATAATGAAGGAAGACCGTTGGTGGATGTTGGTGGCCTTAATGGAAGAGAAATTAGGAGTGGATATAGGTCACAACGATTGAACCACTATAAAACTTGGTTTGCATTTCCTTCATAATTTTTCTTTATATTGCAAACTGATTTTTTAATCTCACTGCTCTTTCATTCTCCAATGAGCACATATACTGTATCCCTAGTGTCCCTACACGAGCAACTGTGAGACCAGCTGCATCCATCATATGGACCGGTATATAGCACACTAGTTTATCTGGTTATCTCGATGTCCCTCTCGAGTAATCTATGACCAGGATTATTTAGGATCTGTATTTAAAACGAATCGGTCTCATTATCGTGATCTCATCATGATCCGATTCTCATTGCCCAGATCCATGGACATCATAATATATTCAAGCAATAGGAAATATAAAGTGATAAAATACCAAATAATAATAATAAATAAAAAGACTACGTGTTAAGTCACACGTGACATCACTCACGTGATTGGCTTGCAGGGCACCTATGACTAGTAGTCAAAAGATTGGATGACAAGCCGAAAGATCGATCGACGTGTCTACAGAAGGCTTCGTGCCATGAGTTTGGGTATCGGGCCAAGAAGATCGAACATTGCTTCAAAGAGATTGGATGTTGCGGAAAGACAATTATACCGATTGGGCAATATGCTGAAGGAGAGGATGATACGCTGAAGGGTTGGACGAAGCGCCAGATGAACCCATGACATGTTGAACAACATATGATTAATGCTTTGTAATAATTTGTGTATATCAAGTTAGTTTATGTCTAATTGAGTCAGTATTGAGATGAAGCAATGCTAACTCAATTAGAGGCCAATTGGGCCTGAATCAGGGCTAAATTGGACTTATTGTTTGGCCTATTCAGTGTCCTATAGCAGGATCTAGCGGTGGTACCACCTAGACTGTGCAATAGTACCGCTCAAACACAGTCTTCAAGACTGTGTTAGGCGATGGTATCACTAGACTCGGCGGTAGTACTGTCCAGTGTCAATGTGTCAGGCGATGGTATCGCCAGACTGGGCGGTGGTGCCGCCTAGTGTTAGATTAGCATGTAGTGGTACCGTCCAGTATTGGCAGTGGTATTGCTAGTACCCCGAAAACCCAAGGATTTGAATTTTGGCTCAAAGTTTTGAAGTCATTTAGGGTCTATAAATACCCCACAAATTCCTACTTGGAAGACACACGAAAATAGAGTAAAAACTCTATGATTCCGAGGTTGTAAACTCTTTGAAGTATAGAGTCCCTCCTCCAAGAGTTTAGTGATAGTCCTAAGGGAGGTGTGTGAGGGA